TAAATAAAAGGAAGTAGTAATAATAATATTATTAAAAATATAATAGATATAGTAAAAGAAAAGAGTAAAAAAGTATAAAAAAGAAAGTTATAATTATAATTATACTTATAAAGTATAATTTTATTTTATTTAATAATATAAAGGTAAATATAATATATTCTAACCTTTTTATTATAATAAAGTTTAATAAATAAATAAATAAAGAAATAATTAAATAGAGTTAAAAATAGTATTTAATATTTATTTATTTATTTAATAAAAGTAGTTTTATAAACTATATAAGTTATACTTTTACTTAAAGTATTATTTTAAATATAAAAGATTATTAATAAGAAAATACTATATATTTTAAATTTTAATAAATAATTATAATTTCTATAAAATACTTATTAAAAGTATAAATAAAGGTTTAATAATAAAAGTAATCTTTAAGTTATTATTAATTTTAAAGATATTAAAAGGTTTTAAAATATAATAAAGTATATAAATTATTAATAAAATATAAAAACTTTATTAATATATACTTAATTATATTATTATTAAATTAATAACTTTATAATAAATAAATATAAAAACTTTATTATAGTTAATTATATTATTATTATTAAAATATTAATATAATTATATTATAATAAAACTTATAAAAATCTAATTATTTTAAAATAATTAATTTCTTTTTATATTTTATTATTTATAATTATTTAAAATAATTATTAATTAATATTAATATAAATTATTATATATATATATATATATAAAGTAATTAATTAAGTTAAATTATATAAAAGGAAGAAATTAAACTTAAAGGGCTAGTAATAAATTCTTTATTATAGCTTATTAATTAAAGTTATATAATATAACTTAAACTATTTACTAATTATAATTACTTTTATTTTTATAATTTTTTAAAATTTTAATCATTTATTTTTAATTTAATAATAAAATTAAAATATATAAATAATTTATATATATATATATAATTATTTAATTATTTTTAATATAAAGTTAAAATATTTATATTTATAATTTTTAATTAATTTATATTTAATTATTTTATTATATTATAATTTTATTTAATTTAATTTATACTTTTTTAAAGTTTATAAATTCTATTATTTTATAAATATAAACTTTAAATTTAAATTTTTATATACTTTAAATTTAAATTTTTATATACTTTAAATTTAAATTTTTATATACTTTAAATTAAATTAATAATATTTTAATTTATTTAAAATATATTAATTATTTAAATATTAAAAGTTTTCTTTAAAATAAAATTTAATTTTATATTATAATAAATTTAATTATAAATAATTATTTAATTTTTATTTATAAATTTAAATATTATATATAATAATAATAAAATATAATTACTTTATTTAATTATATTTTAATTTAATTAATATATAATAAATTAAATAATTATTTATAAATTATTTTATTTATATTTATTTTAATTATTTTATATTTAAAAGTTTAAATTATATAATAAATTTAATACTTTTATATAATAATATTTATTAATATTATATTAATTTATAATTTATTAATATTTTAATATTTAATAAATTAATAATATAAATTTAAATTTATATATATTAATATAAAAATACTTTTAATAATTAATAATATTATAATTATAATAAACTTTAAAATTATTATAAAATATTTTAAAATAAGTTTAATTAAATTAATATTAAAATATATATTATATTTTATTTTTAAAACTTTAATTATTTTTACTTTAATAATAAAATTAAAATATAAATAATTTATAAAGTTATTTAATTTTATTTTAATATAAATTATTATAAATTATAAATTATTTATATCCTTTTAATTTTATTATTAAATTAAAATAAATATTTATAAATTTAAAGAACTTTTTTAATATTAAGTTAAAAGATTTATAATTATAATATTTTAATTAATTTTAATTTAATTAATTTCTTTTATTATAACTTAATTTAATTTTAATTTAATTTAAGCCTTTTTTAAACTATATAAATACTTTTATTTTTATAAATATAAATATTAAATTAAAACTTTTAAACTTAAATTTAAGATTTTTATAAATTTTAATTTCCTTTAAATTAAACTTAAAATTTCTTAACTTTTTAAAAATATATTAATTATTTTAAATACTAATAATTTCTTTTAAAATAAAAATCTATTTTATATAATTATAAATTTAATTATTAATAACTATTTCTTCTTCTATTTATAATTTATTAAAACTATAAACTTAAATATTATATATAATAATAAATTATAATTACTTTACCTAAAGGTTATCTTTTAATTTAATAGTATAATAAATTAACTAACTACTTTTAAATACTTTTATTTAATAAAAGTTTATTTTATATAATTATAAACTTAATTATTAATAATTATTTCTTTTTTATTTATAATAAAACTATTAAATTTATAAACTTAAAGTAATAATAAAATATAGTTATTTTATTTAATTATTTTTAATTTAAAGTATAATAAGTTAAATAACTACTTTTAAGTAGTTTTATTTATAAAATTAATAAATAAATATTTATTTAAATAAATTTAAAACCTTTAAAGGAATAATAACTTTTATTTTTATTTATTTTAATTAATTTATACTTATATTATATAATAAATTTAATACTTATATATAATATTTATTAATATTAAATTAAGTAACTTATAATTTATAATAATTTTAATCTTTAATAAATTAATAATATTAATTTAAATTAATATAATTTAATATATTAATATAAAAGATATCTTTTAATAATAAATAATATTATAAATAAATATAAAGTTATTATAAAAGTTTTATATAATAAATTTAATTAAATTATTTTTAAAAATATATTATATTATATCTTTTAAAAATTATAATTATTTACTTTTAACTTAATAGTAAAATTAAAAATATAAATAATTTATAATTTATAAATTAAATATTATAATTTTATAAATATATAATTTAATTATTAATTTAAATTAATAAATAATATATAATTTAAATTTAATATATTAATATATAAACTATTTATATTTTTAATTTTATTATTAAATTAAAAATATATAATTAAAGTTTTAAAAAATATAATATATATTTTAAAGATTAATTTAATTAGATTTATTATATAAAACTTTTATAATAATTTTATAATTTTTATATTTATAATATTATTTATTATTAAAAGATATTTTTATATTAATATATTAAATTATATTTAATTTATTATAAGTTAAAACTATTATAAATTATAAGTTAGTTTTAATATTATTAAGTATTATATAAATTATTTATATTTTTAATTTTATTATTAAATTAAAATAAATAGTTAGAGTTTTAAAAGATAAAATATAATATATTTTTAAAGATTAGTTTAGTTAAGTTTATTATATAAAACTTTTATAGTAACTTTATAATTTATATTTATAATACTATTTATTATTAGAAGATATTTTTATATTAGTATATTAAATTATATCTAGTTAGTTTAAGTTAGTATATTAAAAGTTAAAGTTATTATAGATTATAAGCTATTTAGTTTAATACTAGTAAATATTATATATAAGTATTAAATTTATTATATAATTTAAGCCCTTAAGTTAATTAAAATAAGTAAAAATAAAGCTATTATTCCTTTAAGGGTTTTAACTCTACTTTATAAGTAAATATTTATTTATTAACTCTATAAGTAAAATTACTTAAAAGTAATTACTTAACTTACTATATTATTAAACTAAAAATAGCCTTTAAGTAAGATAACTATACTTTATTACTATATATAGTATTTAAGTTTATAGTTTTAATAACTTATAAATAAAAAAATAATTATTAATAATTAAATTTATAATTATATAAAAATAGACTTTTATTTTATAAAAGTTATTACTATTTAAAATAATTAATATATTTTTAAAAACTAAAAATATAAGCTTAATTTAAAATATATTAAAATTTATAAAAATCTTAAACTTAAGTTTAAAAATATAAAACTTTAACTTACTTAAAAAAAAAGGTTAAAAACTTAAAGAAAGGTTTAAATTAAATTAAAACTAAATTAAATTATAATATAATAAAATAATTAAATAAAAATTAATTAAAATTTTATAATTATAAATCTTTTAACTTTTATTTAAAAGGAATTAAATATTATATATAAAGTTACTATATAACTTAAATAAATTAATTAAAATAAATAAAAATAAAGTTATTATTCCTTTAATTAAAGTTTTAACTTTATTTTATAAATAAATACCTATTAAATTAAACTTTAAAAGTAATTATTTTATTAAATTAAAAATAACCTTTAAATAAAGTAATTATATTTTATTATTTAAATTTATAATTTTAATAACTTTATTATAAATAAAAAAGAAATAATTATTAATAATTAAATTTATAATTATATAAAAATAGATTTTTATTTTAAAAAAGTTATTAATATTTAAAATAATTAATATATTTTTAAAAGTTAAAGAATTATAAGTTTAATTTAAAGGAAATTAAGATCTATAAGAATTTTAAATTTAAATAAAATTAGAAATTAAATTAAATTATAATATAATAAAATAATTAAATTAAAATTAATTAAAGAATTATAATTATAAATTTTTAACTTTATATTAAAAGAAATATATTAATATATAAAGTTAATAATATATTAATAATAATTAAATTATTATATAATAATTTTATAAATAAAATATTATATTTAAAAGTAAAATTTAATTATAATAATTAATTAAAAGTTATATAAAAAAGTAATTTATAATTAAAAATATTAATAATAAAGTTATATATAAAAATATTAAAGAAATAATAATTATATAAAGAGTTTAATACTATATAATATTTAAAGGTTATTAGCGCTATTTTAGTATCTTAGAATATAAATGAGTGTGCTTGGAACTTAGTAGATAATCCCCACTACCTGAGGGGGCCGCGGTCATAATATGCTATGGTACCAAGTTCGCCGAGTCTATCCCATGTGTCTTTAACTCTGGGTTAAACAATCCTTTGCCACGCTACACAAGGTCGCAACCGTAGCTGCGTTATCAGCATGCATACTGCCCAACACCATGCGCACAGCATCAAGCAAGTTGTTCACAACCTCTGGGGGTACGACAAGCTGATCGAAAACTACTTCTACGTTCGTCGACTCCCCAACTGGCGTCGCTGTGGCCCAAAGATCGGCATAAGCTCCTGTGCTGCCGTCCACCCGAATATCCGCGGCAGCCAGAGGCCCAGACTCGAGCGAAACTAAAGAGTCGCTCGGCAGGTTCTGGTACTGTACAACGGACGAGAACCGGACGTCTGTCGGCCAGTCTACACAGCCTAACTGCACGAGCTGCTGAAGGCCCACGGTGTTATGCGGCAACGTGGCCACGTGTTGACTGTGAATGTCGTGAACAAGCTGTGCGGCAGACATTTGCGATGACTCCGGGCAAGCGCGGACTGGTATCAAGTTCAGGAATGCGCCGAACGACTTGAGCATGGATGGTGCCAGTGTCTCTCGGCCGGAGACGACGTGTCCAAAGACAATGTCATCCGAGTTGGACAAAACTGCCAGGACCACAGCCCAAGCGGCCTTGAAGACCGACGCCGGTGTCACGGAGAAAAGGGAAAAGTGCGCAGAAGGGATGGCGCGGGTCGCGCGGCCTGTCATGAGGTTGTCTGTGAACCCCGAGCGTGACCGAGTTGTCACCGAAGTTATCTTTGAGTTTCGCAACAAGTCCGTCCAGAATCTCACCGCATCGTCTGACACAACGGCCGCGGCCTTTGCGAAATCTCGAAAGAGCGCATCCTCGGGTCCGAGGCTTTGCCCATCATACGCCTTCGCGAAATTCTGCCACAGGCCAGGCAGACACATGCCATCGTATAGAGCATGGGACAGCCGGAAGATGACTCTCGAAGCACCCGTGCGATCTTGTCGGAGGATAAACACACGCGTCAGGCAGTCCCCCCATTTCAACGGTGCGCCACGATCTGATTTGATGATAAGCCCAGCTGTGACATCCAGGTCGTCCGTTTCTGTGCACCGATGATGCTCGATGGCCGCCACGCCTGCCTCGGGCAGTACGCGCTGGATGATTGATCCTCCTTGCTGCTCAAAGCATGACCGCAGCACGGCATGATGGGCAAGGACGGCGTGGCAAGCAGAATCAACCGCGGCCTTGGTCGTCCGGGGTCCCAGGCGAAGACTGAAGTAGTTCATGAACCCTCGTCCGGGTGCCATATTGAAGCGGACCATGGCACCCTGTGTATTCGTGGCCGGGAACTGGTACTTGTCGCAGCCGACCGAGACATGCCCGTTCACAAGCGTGGTCTCGGGTTTGGAGGGCCCTCCTTCAACGACAGAATCCCTCTCCTGCTGCATCTGCGCCGCCATCCGTTCGAACACAGGAAAATTCATAATGCTCAGAACAGACAGGCTCAGTCCTTGAGTGCGTCTTACGGCCGCGGCAAGGCGTATGGCTGAGATGCTATCTCCACCAAGTTGGAAGAAGTTGCTCTCGAGGCCAATGACACATTCGTCAAGCCGAAGGACTTTAGACCACAAGGTCCGAAGGTGTTGTTGCCGTGGACAGGTCACCATGTTACCGGTCGCGGGCCGGGCAAGACTCCGAGTCCTGGTGGACGACGAGTGCTCAACACCATGTGTCTGCGCAAGTGCACGTAGCGCTGTGCGATCCAACTTGCCAGATGTAGTTCTTGGGAGAGCACTGAGGGTGAGGAAGGCCGATGGGACCATGTACGCAGCAAGGTCCTGCCGCAGTTGCTCTTGGAGCCGCGCATAAAACCCAAGCTCGTCCACTTGTACGCCAAAAAAGGACGACAGCTCACAGAGCACAGGCTGCTCGCCCTCGCCGGACCTACCAGTCTCACTTGCTGGAATCACATGCAGGAACGCCACGAGGGCTCTGTCACCTGTGCGCTGCGTGAATATGTCCACTGCACCAAGAAGACGATGGAAGCCCAACCCGAGACTTCTCAGTGCCTCTTGCGCCCGCTGGCAGAAGTGCGACTCAATCTCGCCAAGCTCGATCCGCTGCCCACGGAGCTTGACCTGCAAGTCCTTGCGCGCCTCGAAGAACAGCAGGCCTTGACGTTGCGGCACGCACCTCGCCAAATCACCCGTCAAGTAGAGCCTGACGCCGGGTGGCAGCGGCTGCAGAGCACTGGGTGCCTGGTCGGGGGAGAGAAAAGCATGCGTCGCCCGCTTCATGTCGCCCAGGTAACCATATGCGACATTGGGTCCTTCGACTAGGATCTCGCCTATGCATCCGCTGGGCACAAGGCGAGAAGGGTCAGAGGGATGGACGAGCCAGATTCGACAATTCGCAGGTCGCCCAATCAGGCTCGGCGGATCGATTTCTGACTTGATCTCGTGCATGGTGCTCAACACGGCACACTCAGCAGGACCCCACGCGTTGAAGAGCCTCACGCGGCCCCGCCATGTGTGGTAGGACTCCGCCTTCGGCAGTTCGCCGATGAGGACGAGGATCCGAAGGCTGCTGCACCGCTCGCGCTCGAGGAGTGCGGCCACGGAGGGCGTGATGAACAGGCAGTTTGACTTGGATCGCTCGATCGCGCCGTTCAAATCACTCGTCCTTTCGTGCTCGTGTGGAACGCAAAGTGTGGCGCCATGGATGAGAGAAGCTGCCATGTCTCCGATGCCGACGTCGAAGGTGTATGCTGAGAATTGGAAGATGCGGGAATGTTCGGAAATGCCGAGCTGAGGGCCATATTTCAGGACGCTAAAGCAAAGTGCTGAGTGCGGCAACATGACGCCCTTTGGTCGTCCCGTGGAGCCGGAGGTGAACACCACGAAAGCCACGTCCTCGGGCATGCTTTTGTCCATGGAGCAATGTGTGCGGACGTTCGGTGCGAAGTCGTGCTCAAGCACCAACTTCGAATCAACCACCACCACATTATCGCACCCGAGTACCCGAGCCTTATCAGTGTGGTTTGGGCTGGCCAGAACTACTTGGGCGCCGATTTGATCCACAGCAATATCTCTCAGTCTATGCGTGCCGTCGCTTGGCGATAGAAAGGCGCACGAGGCGCCCACACGCAGGATGGCAAGTAAGCTCACAATGACTGCGGCCGACTTGTCACAGAGGACAGGCACGATCTGGCCTCGTCGCAGTCCGAGGTGGAATAAATGACGGGCCAGGCCTACGGACGCGCGATCAAGCTCGGCGTAGGTGTAGCGGGCGTCCCAACTCTCAACAGCAACAGCATCAGGACGTATCTCAACCTGCCTGGAGAACAGGGACGGGATCGTATGCGCAGGTTGAGTTCCCACATAGCCATTTAGGAACAATTCCGACTGAGAGTTAAACGCTTGAGCCAGTTGACAATGAAGTGGGGAGCAGAGGTCTGTTGTGGCTACAGTCTCCCCGGAATCCCCGGTCATGGCCAAGACACAGCCCATGGCCTTCTCGAATGCAGAAAGCATGGCTTGTGCTACCGAGTCTGGAATCTTGTGCGAGTTGTACGTAAGGCGGAACTCGGTCTCGGAAGCGACCCTGGCGTTGAGCACGAGAGCGTATTCGGTGCGATCAACACCGTCCTGCTCTTGGAACTTAAGGGCCTCATCGGCAGGATTTGAGGCAGCAGTCTGCACACTCAGAATAGTATCAAATAGCGGCTGGCCCTGGTGATTCAACCTGGGCGAGCCGATCTGGTGCTCCAAAGCCAAGAACATGTCCTGAACCGTGGCAGTAACCACGTCTGTGAGTCTGTGCCCGGAGCCCATGGTTACCCGACACACCAGCAGGCTTCCGAACATGCCCACGGCGTCCTCGATCCCAGTGACAGGCGCGTCGCGACCACCGGCAACCCAACCGAAGCTGACGTCTTCGAAGCCTGTGTAGGCGCGTAGTGTCAGGGCCCATGCGACGTGAATAGCCGCCGGAGCTGTCGCCTTGAACCGGCGACACCAGGGACCGAGGGACCCTTGAAACTGGGCGCTCAGTCTGCTGTCGAAGAAGCCAAATTCGGGCTCGCTTTTGTGCGGCACCAGACCCATCCGAGGCAGACAGCGAGGCTGGGCGCCTGCAAGGTATTGAGCCCAGAACGCGTCCGCAGCCTCCATGTTGGACTGACGGACATGTTGGATGTATCTTCGGAGCGTGTTCGTATTTTTTCTGTCCAATGGCTTTCCCCGGTATGCCAGCCCGATATCACGCTCAACTGTGGCGGAAGACGTCCCGTCGAAGGCTGCGTGGGAAACCTGAAGCTCAATATGTGCTGCGCCATCCGAGAGGGCCCGGACTCGCAGAGGTCCGCCGGCCGGCGGGTTTGCAAGCACAACCTGCAACGGAGACACCATGTCCGGGAGAGTCACGAACCTTGTCCGTAATGATGCGTGATGCCGTACAACCTCGTTGCAAGCGTCTTGCAGCTTATCTGCATCGATGGGTGCAAGTGGGCCGCCTACATCAAGTGCCGAGACTTTCCACGAGGCATGAATGTGAAAGTGACTTGGATCGCGGGCTTGAGCTAAAAGGATCCGCTCTTGCGCAGGAGTGCATGCAAGGACCTCCTGTACTTGATCAATGTGGTCTAGCCCCAGTAACTTGTTGACTTGGGCGCGACGCCGCTCGCTGACTGCGTAGTCGTCCGAGTCGAGTACTGGCAGCAGACGCAAGCTCTGGCGGATTTCCGAGGAGGCCAGCGCCGCGGGTATGTCCATGTAGAGATATCGCAGGCTGCGCTCGATGGCCGCGTGGACGCGGTCCACGTTTCTCAACCGGCCATCGCATGTCACGTTCAGGGCAAGGCCTGGCTCACCAAGAGAAGCCACTACTTCGACCAGGGCCAGGGACTCAAGCGAAGGGTCCATGTCCGCCACTCTCTCCGCAGCTGCAGAGAGCGGGGACCGAGACAGCAGACCGGACTCGGCCTCATTGAGCGAAGAGTCCCCGACGTAGTTCAGCACAATCTCAAACGGCACCGTCTTTATTGTGGCGGCGTGATTGCGGTCTGCGATGTTCAGCCGGCCGTGCCGAGCTCTCCATATGCCCTCGACCACAGGACTTTGTGAGACCGACAACGAGACTTGGCGGAGTCTTGTGAGCCAGCCTACCGTTGTGGTTTGCTCGCTGCCACGTCCATGTTCCTCAACAACCATGCGAGGGCTTGAAGTACGCCCTGAGGCCTGGCACATCTGGGAGAAGGCACTACCAATCGCAGCTTCAACGGCGTCGCCCACATCGAGACTGTCGATGCCACGGACACTGGCCGACAGGGCAAGTGTTTGCGATGGTGTGAGGCTGACGGTCCACTTTGTTGGCCTGCGGGTGGCTGCCCGTCCAGCCCTGCCTGTCTCATCAATGCCCCAGAATTTGTAAGCATCTTGCATGCATGATGGGTCGTCTTCTGAGTCATTTCCAACCTCTTTGTTCGCAGAACCGAAAGGTGGAGGTGTGGCTGAGGGAAGCAGGCCGCCAGAAAGCAACACCACAAGATCGCTGCGCAGTATATCCCACGACACGACGTCCACGACGAGATGGTGGGCCAGCATAAGCAAGTCCAGCGCTCCGTCAGGTAATACAAACGCAGCTGCAGCAAACAGCGGCCCACCACTGATATTCAGGACCTGCTGTGTCTCGGCAGAGATACGAGCTACGGTGTCCACCTCTTGGCCTTCACGAACGACGTGAGTTTGGAAATGTAGGGAGCCCGGGACATCGTCCGTGATGGCACATTCCCACTGCCAGGCACCAGCCGCTGGGAATTCAAGCTCGAGTCGTCTCAGGAACCGCGAGCGCAGAGCCGCATGGTGGCCGACAAGCCTAAGGAGGTGCCCCTGCAATTGCTCCACTGCCACGGCAGCACTGTTGACCCTGAGGTAAGTGCTCTGGTTGAAATAGTTCGGGCCCCAAGGGTAAATGGAAAAGAACATGTGCTGCGCAGGCGTGAGAGGAACAATGTCCCATGCCTGCACTCCATGTACTAGCTGCTGGTGTGTCTCGAGTTTGGTCACCCTCGACTCGTTCATTTCCCGAGCCATCTCCTCTATGGTGTGGTTTCCCAGGACGTGGGAAAGGCTGAGCGGGGCTCCCACAGCTTTGCACCGTCTCACAAGCTGCATTGCCAAGAGCGAGTTGCCACCCAGCTGTGGAAAGGTCAAGTCGCCGGGCGCAGAGGACAAGTCCTCCCGAAGGATCTGGCCCATCAGGTCCCGCAGTATCTTCTGTGACGACGTCTTCGATCTAAACTTTGCTTTGACACCTGTAAAGGTGCGCGGGATGTGTCGGATGGCTTCAAGCTGTTGTCGGATAGCGGCCCTGTCCACCTTCGAAGACGGAAGTTGAGGCATGCGCGTCACTGAAGCCCATACTTCGGGGACGTGACAACTTGGCAGTTGCTTTGACAAATACCTCTTGATAGCCTCGGACTCTGGGGACTCCCCGATGATCATGCCGCCTGCAGGCTCAGAGGTAGATGTGGTTGTCTCGTGCCGCAATTGCAGGACAGCCACAAGGCGGCCCTGCAGATGACCTTTGCCCGGGACCGTAACCACAGCATCGCCGACCGTGTTTGCGGCGGCAGGGGACTGGAGGATAGCCTGTTGAACAGCCTCCACTTCCACGCGTACCCCCCGTACCTTCACTTGGTTGTCTCGCCGGCCAACAAAAAGCAATGATCCAGCCGAATCCTGCCTGACCAAGTCGCCGGTTCGATATAGCCGCGTGTCGGGTGGGCAGCCCGTGAACTCGCAGAACCTTCCTGAGATATGAGAAGCTGATATGAACTTCTCAGACGTGAGCGCTGCGTCACCAAGGTAGCCTAGAGCCAGGATGGGGCCCTCGATTGCGAGCTCCCCGACGTTGCCTAACGGAGCAAGTCGCAGTCGATGGTTGGCGTCCCCATCTTCGTTGCCTGTGTACCCGAGCACCCAGGCTCTGCATCCCACGGGCGTTCCGATCGTATTGAGAGGCTTCCCACTTATGTCAGTGTCCATCGATGCCGTGACGCTGCACTCAGAAGGCCCATAGGCAACGAGTAAGCGGACGCGGCCCTGCCACGCATTGCGCAGGGACGCGCTTAGCGAAGAGCCACCGACAACCACGGTCTTTAGGCTCGGGACAGCTGCCCGATCGAGAGTTTCCAATACTCCGGGGGTCAGTAACACCACGTTGGCGTCCAACTCGCTGATTGCTTCAGCCAGGCGGGCCTGGGCGTCCCCCTCCCTGGGCACGCAGACGCAGCCTCCGTGGACTAGGGTGGATATTATCTCGTCGATGGCGACGTCGAATGAGTACGACGAGGACTGGATCACCCGAGAGGACGTGGACAGACCAGTGGCACGGCCGTGATGCACGGCACTGGCTGCGATGCCGCTGTGCGAGACGACGACACCCTTGGGCTCGCCAGTTGACCCGCTCGTCATGATGCAGTAACAAGGATCGCCGAACTTTGAGGGTTTTCTTGGACCTTTATTAACGACATCCTCATCTGGGACGGGCGTGAATAGCGATTCATGGTCCACTATCAGGACCGCGGGGTGGTCTTGCACGATTTGTCGTGTCTCGGGCGTGACAAGGAGTATTTCAACATTGGCTTTGTTCAAGATTTTCAGAATGTGACTTCTGGGCTGGGTGGCGTCCAGAAGAACCACCGCAGCACTCGCGCGCCAGATGGCGAGCATAGCTACCACCGTCCAGGGAGACTTGTTAAAGAGAACACCAACAAACGAACTCTGCTGCTTGACCAAGCGCCCGTCGTGGAGAAGACGATGGCATAGCAGAGCAGAACACGTGTCCAGGTCTCTGTACGTCAGGATCGTGTTGTTCTGTGCTGTACAAACCGCTGGAGCGTGTGCCTGAGGCGAGTCCTGACCCCAGTGCTGGCCGATGAGCTCATGGACACACATCTCGACGGGGGGCGGTGGCGGCGCGGCGTCGACGAAGGGCATCTGGTCGCGCAGGAGCTGAGAGCTCCAAATGCCGATGTCTCGGAGCAGAGTACCTCGAGGCGCCTCTATGAGCTGTGTGAGGATATGCTCAAAATGTGACAGCACACGATGCAGCACGACCTCGCTTATCTGTCGGTTGTCGTAGTAGGCCAACAGCTGGATCTGAGTGCTCCGGGATCCCTTGGATTTCACGACAACAAGTTCAAGAACGAGGCCAAAGGGGAACGGGGACGCTGGCTCGCTGCCGGCATCGCCTCCGCTGGGCACGGCTGGCTTCAGTCCGATGGCCTCGAGGCACGTTTGCCCGCCGGCTGTCGCTGTCCCAGAGATCAACTCTTCGGTCTGGACTACGACCAAGTGGTTCAGCGTCGCCTTCTTCCTGGTCTGATTCTGGACAGTCTCCTGCAGCCAAGCCAATCCAGCATGCTCGTGTGGTGTAGCGGCCTCGGATTTCTCGCTCGCTTCCTCCAGGAATGCGGACACCTCTTTCCCGTCGTTCGGCTGGAACCGCCGCGGGACGAAGGACGCTGTAGGGCAGACGATGTGTGCGAGGCTGGGGTCCATGGTTCTGCCAGATCGCACGACCCCCAATACTACGTCCTCTGAGTTGAGGTAGGCAGAGAGTGTCAACGCCCATGCCGCCTCGACGAGGACAGGCAGCCGTGCGACGGTCGCGCCGGCGCCAGGCAGTGAGATAACTGGTCGGGTCGTTGATCTATTCGCAGTCGAGGGAGTCAAGTCCGAAGTCTTGCTGGAAAGTGTGCGTGGGAACGCACACGACTCCAGCGCGCCTGTGCTGATGTTGCTGAACTCTGTTTGCCAGAATGTCTTGGCTGTTTCTGCATCGTGGCGTTGCAACATGCGGATGTAGCATGAAGGGGGCAGAACCAGCCGCTTGTCTGGGCCACCGGTTCTATATAGGTGTTCAAATTGGTGCAGAACGAGGTTGGTGGCCCAGCCGTCATCTGCAAGGGAGAAAGGAGGGAAGGTTGTGTCAGTAATCAATCATCTCAAAGGGCTGTGGAGGTTAGTGGTCGACCTACACAGAGAATGGTGGCGGATCCACTCGAATCGGTTACTCTGGATCCGTTGATATGACAACGGGTGGCCAAAACCAAATCTACACTCCTCTGCCTGCGATCCATCCCCCCATACTTTCCCAGGACGTAGGACAACTTGGTAGGCCTGGGCGACACCTCCCACAGCCGCGGCATGCACAATACGGGTCCGGAAGATGGGATTGAGCTCGACGAGGCGCTCCCAGGCGACTCGCAGCCTTTCGGGATCCACGTCGGCTTCGAACTCAAAGACATCCTTTGAGACCCACAGGTCTTTGCTTGTCTCTGTTTCCAGAAGGAGCCCACGTTGTGTAACGGTGGCGGCGTAAATGTCCTCCACGTCGGTGGCACCAAGTCCCAGCTCGCGAACCTCGCTGAGCACCGCTTCCTTCTCGCCAGCAGACACGAGAGAAAATGGCAGGGGGGGGTCATCTGCTTTCTGTTCTGGTGACCCCTCGGGGCATCGTGTGGCCAGAAGGCCGGCCAGGTCGGAGACTGAAGGGTGGGCATAAATGTCTCGCACGGAAAGGTGCAGACCGTCCCCTCGTGCAAGCCAGGTGAAGTGCATTGCAGTGATCGAGTCGCCACCAAGTTCGAAGAAGTTGTCGTCGACGCCGGCGGGTGTGGTCTTCTCACACAAGCCCAGGGCCTTGGTCCAGTGTTGCAGTATTGTTGACTCCATAGCATTGCGAGGCGCTTTGTATGCCGTACCTTCTGATATGTCTGCGCGCAAGGACAATGAGAGGCTTTGAAGGTCTGCCTCGGTCATAGTTTCCATCATCTTGGCCATAGCCTTCAAATCTATCTTCAGCGTCCTAGTCTTCGGGAGAGCGGACACCGGTACAAATACAGATGGGATCATGTGTTTCGGGAGCAATGTTTGAAGATGTTTCTTAATGTCCAAGATTCGCTCCCGCAACCCATGGGTCATCGCAAGAGGAGAAAGGCGCGTGATGTTAACAGACCCGAGAGCAGAGGCCGTGTCGGACAAGACGATGAAAGCGGCCAGGCGGACGGCCGGGTGACTCGGCGGCGAATCCGCGACACCCTGACGTTGAAAGGTAACCGCCGCCGCCTGTCGTATATCACCGCGTGAGCTCGCAAGGACGGTAGTGACCTCGCCTAGATCCAGCCGCTGCCCATTGATCTTGACCAGCCCATTGTCGCGGCGTCCACGGAAATGGAAATGGCCCTGTGCATCCTGGGAAGCAAGATCTCCCGTCCGGTACACCTTGCGATCTGGCCGGAGCCAGGGCATGCCAACGAACTTCGTAGCGTTCAAGTCAGGAAGACCGAGATACCCGCGGGCGACAATCGGGCCTTCGATGAGAAGCTCGCCCGTGGCGCCGAGAGGAGCGAGCCGAAGGTTGCTGTCGTCTTGCCCCGGGGCCCAGCCGATCCACATCCGGCAGCCCAGCGCGGTACCGATGTCACGGGCGTCGGTGTCCTTGGTTGAGACGATGCGGGCGGAACAGTAGATTGTAGTCTCGGCCGGGCCGTATGCGTTAATCAGTGTCACATGGCTCTCAGCCCACGTCTCGACGACTTGCTGATGTACAGCTTCGCCTCCGACAACCAGAGTCTCTAGTCTCGGAACATCACTCGGTTGCAACATTGATGCAACCGCCGAGGTCAGATAGAGCCAGTTGACTTGTAGGCGTGTGATGCATCCAGCCAGGTCAGCCAGCCTATCGTCTTCGCGGGCCACACAAACGGTGCCGCCCTGGATGAACAGCCGCAGTAATTAGTACAGGATCCCCAGTGGCCTACATATCCCTCGACAGATGAAATAGAAGAATACCCACATGCATGAGGGTGGTCAAAGTCTCACCAACGCTCACGTCAAAAGCGCACGATGCGAATTGCAGCACACGAGACGTGGGGCAAAGCCGCATCGCTGCACCATAGTGCTGTGCCGAGGTGCACAATGCGGCATGCTCGATGATGATTCCCTTGGGCTTTCCGGTCGAACCGCTGGTGAAGACGCAATATGCCGGGCTGACAGGAGTGGCGACCTCTCCAGGCTGATCTGGAACCAAACTAGTAGCTGGAGGCGGAGATGGTGACTGCGAGTGGAACTCGGCAACCAGCAGGGTCAGTGAAGACTTGGAGAACAGCGGCTCGGTTGTGCTGGACACGATGCCGACTGAGGCGTCGCATTGGGCCACAATTTCAGCATTTCGAGCTTCTGGGTAACTCGGGTCCAGGGAGACACAAGCAGCACCGGCCTTCAGGACGGCGACCTGGGCAACCACTGACCATGCCGACATCTCGTGGCATATGGGGACAAATTGACCAGTCTTCACACCACGACCAGACAGTACCCCAGCTAGAGCCGACGACAGACGTTCTAGGTCAGTATATGTGAGCTCCTTATCCCACGCGAAAACGGCAGTTTTGTCTGGACGGAGCAATGTCTGCTCGGCAATGATGTCGTGCACGCGACGCTGGACGGGGACCACGACCATCGGCTCACTGTTCCACCCCCAGATGCTGGCCCTGTCGCTGGGGCTGAGCAGATCCACCTGGCCCAATGTTCCGCAGCTTCCAGCGAGCCATACCATCTCCTGGACGAGATGGCCTAGCTGCTCTAGCAGGCGCTGGACTGTTGCCCCATCCAAGAGCGTGGAGTCGTAGTGCGCCACCACGTTGACGTCGCCCATATTCTCACGCACCGTCGCCTCCAGAACCAGGGGATACGGGTGGATGTTCGCTCCAGCGTCCCGTTCGGATACCACCGGGTCATCAACGCGCTCGTGCTTCCCCAATACGGTCGATGTTGCCTGCACGACCAGCAGGCTGTGGAAGCCACAAGCAGCCGCCGCCGCGGCGCTGGCCTTGCGGATCTCATTCATCCCGCAATGCTCGTACGGAGTCACCTCGGCGATCGCCTTCTGCACCTCGTCAAACAGGGCTGACACCGGCGTGTCCCGCCCCGTAGGCACGTGGATGCGTAGTGGCACCGTAGCCGCCATGGGGCCCACGATGTCCACGCTGTGAGGGAGCGTCGGGATGTCTCTACCTGTGGTGACGATGCCGAACACAACATCGTCGGTACCGCCGTATATGGCTGCGAGCTGGCTCCATGCGGCGTACAGGGCGACAGACGCTCTGGTGTGTCGTCCGCGGAAGGAGAACGCGTGTTCGGTGGTCGCATCGGTGGTTGGCAACCACTGGGAAGGGGAGACCTTGGTATGTGGGAACTGCGTGAACGGGTCCCCTGTGAGATACTCCCTCCAGAAAGATTGAGCTAAACTCCTTTCAGCGCGCAGTACATGGTCTACAAAGCGCACGTATTGATTCGCGGAAGGGTGGGTCTGGTCGTGCTCCTGTGGGCGGTTATTGTACAGCGTTTTGAGTTGATGGGTAAGGCCGGAAAGAGACCATGCATCATACACCTGGAAACACCAGCTTGATTAGAAAGGATTGACAACGAGAAGCTGGAGGTTAAAATAGGAAACTCACAGCATGATGCGCATTCAATACGAAGTAACTCTGAAGCCAACCCTCCCTGACATCCTGAAGGATGGAAGCACGGTATAGAGGAGATCCAAAGGTGATAGCCCGTGACGCCTCTCGCTCCATGAAGAGATGATCATCCAGACTTGACGACACGACGTTGCAGGTGACGGCGTTTTGGACCACTGCTTGGAAGAATCCCGCGGGTGTCGTATACAGGCGAGTCCGAATGATCGGTGTGGCGCTTGCCAGAGCAGACCAAGCGTCCTGCAGTCTCTGCACATTGACATCGTGCCGAAGCTTGTAAACAAACAGACCCCGGTACGCATTTGTGCTGTTCAGGCTAGCAGTGAACAGGCTCTTCTGGAAGGGGGTCACCGGGTACAAATCTTGAATAGCTGACGGCGCTACCTGGCATGCTCTGGCGGCGTCAATGACTGCGTCTGCGGCTGACTGCCCAACCAAGCGGAGAAGGGAGAACGGAGCCGGCAGAGGGTCCTCGGCTTCACCGCTCGGACGGTCGACCCCACGAAGCCTTATTTCTTTCGCCAACGCCTCGATGGTTCCGAATTGCAGTATCGCAGTGGTGGAGAGACCAGTGATGCCATGGGACCGAGACGCAGCCGCTAGCCGCATGGCTTTGATCGAGTCACCGCCCAGGAATATGAAGTCGGCATCCACGCTGATCTCGTCCTCTTTGATTCCTAGGACTTTAGTCCAGAGCTTTACAAGTGCCTCCTCCTTGCAAGACGCTGCAGCCCTTGGTGCTCTTGACGCTCGGTCTAGCAAGAAGAAGCCGAGTTGTTGGGGGGTGAGGCTTTGCAGCCATCGCGTCATCGTCTTCCGGTCAGCTTTACCTGACACGGTGCGGGGCATCTCTTGCATATGGATCCAGTGGGACGGGATCATATATGACGGCAGGTTGGTCTCTAAAAGGCGCCGAGCCTCGAGTAGCTCCTGTTGGAGTTGCTCGGGGAGCACTTCGCCCCATGCCACGTCTTTGGTATTGACGTCTTGATCAGCGCGGATGGTAGACTTGTACCGGACATGATTGACGAACAATACGGCAAGCCTCTTTTCTTCAAGCCCTGTCTCGGAAGGCGTGAAGACCACGGCTGTCACCTGCTGTATCGATGGTAAAACATGGCGTACATTCTGCTCCACCTCGAGCAGTTCAAAGCGTTGGCCGCGAAGCTTTGCCTGCGAGTCTCCTCCGATACGACCCATGTAAATGAGGGATCCATTCGGCCGCACTGTGCAATGTCAATATATGTCCTGGCCAGCAAGATTTCTTGAAGACATGTTGCGGGCTTTAGCTTACTGCGAACCAGATCTCCCGTACGGTACAGTCGTCGTTCATGGCCCAGGCCACCAGGCCAGTCAAGACCACTGATCCAAGACGCCGCAGTCCCAGCGGCATCTCCCCAATACCCACGCCCAAGATTTGGCCCTTCGATAAGCAGCTCTCCGGCCGCGCCAATAGGCGTCAGGCGGTTCGGATTCGTCGGGTCTACAACCCACGCCAGGCAGCCTCGAGGCGTTCCGAGGAGCGACGTGCCAGCGGTGTAGCGCCTCTCCGAGAAGTAGTCTCCCACGACGCAGATAACGCAGGTCTCGGTGGGGCCGTATCCGTTGCGCAGCTGCGGCACATGACCTCGCCACTGCTCGATGTCGGCTGTCACGGCGGCCTCGCCGATCAGTATCAGCGTCTGGAGCGTCGGCGTGCGCTTGGGGTTGAGAACGCGGGCTACGGAGGGTGTGATCATGGACCAGGTTATCTTGTAGCGGTCAATGGCATCGGCCAGACCCCCGAGGAGCTCGTCCGTATGAGGGACGCAGATGCACGCACCGCGCGTGAGTGTCATGAATACTTCGTCGATGAAGGCGTCGAAGCAGTATGATGAGAACTGCAGGACTCGGGATGACGAGGTCATGTTCATGGCATCGGGACAGGAGCGGCAGGTTATGCTCGAGGCTACTGCACGGTGCTCGACAGCCACGCCCTTGGGGACGCCCGTTGTGCCGCTGGTAAAGAGGATATAGGCTAGGCTCGACGGGCTGGCGGCAATGTGGCTTGATGTGAGCAACGCCGGTGGGGGCTCGACGGCTGCGAGGGCCGCGTGGCTTATTTCCAGCATAATACACTGCGATCCAATCACCTTTTCGAGGCGAGCCGTGAGAGATGGGTGTGAAATAGCGATCTGGCACGTTGATATGCGTGCCATATCCTTGATGCGACCATCCGGTTGAGCGGGATCTACGGGCACGAAGGCCCCCCCGGCTTTGAGTATTGCCAGCATGGCGACAACAACCCATGCCGATTTGGGAAAGAACACAAGCACTGTTTTCTGCTCTTTTGTCAGTACATTTGAGAGAACTTGGGGTCAATGTCCTGTACCTCGGGTCCAACTCCAAGGCGTGTCAGGCTCTGCGCCAGCCTGTCTGACAGCTCGTCGAGGCGGCTGTAGCTGAATTTCTCGTCCCAAGCATCTACAGCGATAGAGTTCGAGTGAACTTTCGTAGTTTCCATAAATAGGTCGTGGATGCAACGGTCAACAGGTGGTGGGCGCTCCGCGTTGAACCGCGCCAACGCTTGCACATCGCCTGAGCTGGAGAGGCAGATGTCTCCCACGAGAGACCGAGACCCGGCGGGCTCATCCACGCAGCTTTGGATTTTGTAAGTAAGTTCGGACAACTGCCTTAGCAGCATTTCTGCCTGGGACGAGCTGAGGAGCCTCGAATCGTGGTAGGCTGTCAGTCGCAATGGGCCACAATCACGAGGAAGCCAACACTCGACCACCAGAGCATATGGGTGCGCTTCACCTCCATGCCCAGTCACCTTCCAATCAGGGCTGCCTAAGCCGGCGTCTGACTGTAGTCCCACAACATCGAGATGCGCCGGCTGGCAGAGAAGCATCGTCTGCAACTGCGAGCTCGGGAATCCCCCGTAGTCACGGCAGATCCTGGCCAACCCCACGTGCTGGTTCGCAACAGCAATGTGCAAATCACCCTTGATCTGATCCAGGACGGCGGCGACCGACTGGTCGCGCCCGGCGCGGATGTGGAACGGCACTGCCGCCATAGTCGGCCCTGCCATGTCGAGCGCGCCTTCGACCGGGACGTCGCGACCCGAGAGCATCGTCGCGAAGAGGACGTTGTCTGTTGCGGCATATGCGCCGGCCAGAATGCCCCAGGCGGCGTAGGCCATTACGGAGAGGGTGAAAGACCCCGTGGTGCTCTGGAATGTTTGTGGGCTTCCGAAAGTCGTAGTGGAGTCTGTCATTGCGTTCAGGCCGGGGATGCGGTCCACAATGTCTGCCGCCCTGCAGTCGGCCATTCTGGATCGCCAGAAATCAGATGCGGCTCCGGTCTTTTCGCTGTCCCTGTTCAGAGCGTAGATGTAGTCGATGAACTGCTGAAACTTGGGCGGACCGGCCAAGGCCTCGCCGCGGTAGGCCTTCCGAAGCTTGTCCAGGACTAGGCGCATGGCCCAGCCGTCGAATAAAGCATGGTGGATTTTGAGGACTGCCTGGAAGGTGTGTTCCTCAGCAGAGGATGACGAGTTTGAAAAATATAGTTGTGCAAGTCCAGTGTGGTCAAGTTGCCCCAGGTGCATAGGGCTGTCGTCTGGTGAGTAGATGCGACCTGCACATGGACTGGTTGCACGCAACACAACTTGGAATAGATGACACGACGGTCCCAATACCAACATACAGCTCCGGAGCATCGGTGTAACATCCACCAGATCCTGCCATGCAGCCTTGAACTTATTTCCTGCATCAGCTTTGCCCTCGATCACGAGTTCGTAGGTATATGCGGCATGTTCCGGCGTGCTGGCTGCCCATAAGCCTTCCTGTATCGGGCTGACACGGTGGACATACTCAATGTCGTCGACAGATATCGCGCAAGCCTGTGCTGCTTGAGCTGCAATGTTCTCGTAGTTCTCCATTTTCAATTGCTGATGGACCATGGGCGCGATTCAAGTCCTTTCCTGGGAGCGATGGGCGCGTCAAGATCCTACCTTTATATTCTGTATGTCCTCGGACGTATACGGAATAGAAGCGAAACCACATATTCTGATCTGAAATGTCATTGTCGAGCCACTCTTGCTTTCAAACCACCACATTGCATGTCCTTTCGTAAAAAAAAGCCACTGGCATGGGTGACACACCGGGTCCCAGCCACCACAGTGTTCCGGCAACTCTGCTGTGAAAATTTTCAAAATTTACTTATTCAGAAGGTTTACAAGTTTTGTCATGCACCATAGTAGCTCGACGGGAAGGCTTATATTAAGTTCCGGCGGGATGTAGCTCAAGACAAAGATAAAAATAGAGGGGCGCCCACTACTTTAAACAGGCTTTTAACTTTTACCTGGAAGCATCGGATTCTGCCTGCCTGCTCCGTAGCTAACATGGAGACTGGAAATTTACATACTTAAATTAGAAGCCGGGTATCTAGCTATGCTTAAATAGTGTCTTAATCAATTAAAAGATTTTATTATATTTTATTTAATTATTTATATAATACTTTTTATATTTCCTTTATTATACTTTATATTATATTTTTATTTAATTTATTATAAATTAAATATATAATAATAATAATAATAATAATAATAATACTTTTTAACTTTTTTATATATTATAATTATTATTATAAATATTATATTCTTATTATTTCTTAAATTTAAAATATTTATTAATATATAAAATAATTATATATATATTAAAATATATATAAAATAAAAGTAAAATTATATAATATTTAATTATATTATATTTTTATATAATATTATTATTTATTTTTATTAAAACTTATATATAAAATTTTTAATAGTTATATATTAAATAAAGATTTTATAATATTTAAAAGATTAAATTTAAAAATTAAATATTATTAAAATAAATTAAGAAATACTTTATTAAAGTATAATAAAAGTTTATATATTAAAATTAAATACTAAATTAATTTAAAGTTAACTATATTTAATTTTAAAATTTATTAATAATTTATTAATATATAAGTTTATTATTTATAATAATATAATAATTAAACTTTTATTTAATTTAAATACTATTAATTTAATTTTAAATATTATTATAATTTAATTATTATTATTTTTAATAATTCTTAATTATTATATATTTTAATTTTAATTATATATAGTTTTATAAAAGTAATTACAAGGAGTTTATTAAAATATATTATATTAATTAATTAATAGAAATAAAATTTAATTAAAAATAATTATTTAAAATTATTTTAAGTTACTTTATAATTATTATTTATTATAAAAGTAAATTAACTTAAAGGAATTAAAAGTTAAGTAATAAAAAGGTTATTATATAATATTAATTAATAATAAAATAAAGTTTTTAATTAAAACTTTTAATAAAAAGCTTATTAACTTTTAAATTAATTATATATATTATAAGTATTAAATATAAAAATAATTATAAAAAGTATTTATTATTATTATATTATAATTATTATTTATTAAAAACATTATAATATATAAAAGAATAAATTTTATAAAATTAAATATTTTAAAATAAATAAGAAAGTACTTTATTTATATATAATAAAGCTTTATATATTAAAATTAAACTTTAAATTAATATAAAGTTAATTTAATTTTATTTTAAAATATATTAATATTTAATTTTATAATTATTTTATAAAAACTTTTAAATTTATTTTTATTTTATTTTTATTATATTTTATATAAATTATAGATTATTTATATTTTTTAGTTTTATTATTAAATTAAAAATAAATAATTAAAGTCTTAAAAATAAAATATAATATATCTTTTAAAATTAACTTAATTAAGTTTATTATATAAAACTTTTATAATAACTTTATAATTTATATTTATAATATTATTTATTATTAAAAGATACCTTTTATATTAATATATTAAACTATACCTAATTAGTTTAAGTTAATACTATTAACTTATTAAAAGTTAAAATTATTATAAATTATAAACTATTTAATTTTAATACTATTAAATACTATATATAAGGTTATTATATAATTTAAGTAAGTTAACTAAAATAAGTAAAGATAAAGTTACTATTCCTTTAAAGGTTCTAGCTCTACTTTATAAATAAACACTTATCTATTAACTCTATAAGTAAAACTACTTAAAAGTAGTTACTTAACCTACTATATAAACTAAAAATAACTAGATAAAGTAACTACACTCTATTACTATATATAATACTACTTTAAGTTTATAATTTTAATAGCTTTATTATAAATAAAAAAGAAATAATTATTAATAATTAAATCTATAATTATATAAAAGTAAATCTCTATTTTAAAAGAAGTTATTAATATTTAAAATAATTAATATATTTTTAGAAAATTAAAAGATTATAAATTTAATTTAAAGAAAATTAAAATTTATAAAAATTTTAAATATAAATTTAAAGGCTTCTTTTAAATTTAACTCCCTTAAAAGAAATATTAAAAGACTTAAAAAAGTTTAAATAAAACTAAAACTAAATAAAGTTATAATAATATAATATAGTTAAATAAAAATTAATTATAAAATTATAATTATAAGTCCTTTAATCTTATACTTAAAAGAGATTATATTTTATATATTATTAAAAGTTAATAATTATTTATAAATATAAATATATATATATATATATTATTTATAAATTATTATTTTATTATTAAACTAATTAATAAAACTTGAATAATAATATATATATAATTATATAGTTTTATTTTTATTTTATATAATTTACTTCTATTTTATATATATTTAAAATATATATAATATTTTATATAATAAAATATTTAAAACTTAATATTTAAAAGAATTTAATATTAATAATAATAATTATAATATAATAAATATTTATAACTTTAATTTTATAATATATAAATAAAGTTAAAAGTATTATTTTAATAATAATATTAATTAAAATTATAAATAAAATAATTTATAATATAATTATTATAAAAGTTATATAATAAAATTAAATTTAAAAATAATTATTATATAAATAAATTATATTAAAAAGTTTAACTTAAAATTATTTATTTAAATATATATATATATATACTTTATAATAAAGCTTTTATTAAATAAATATTATAACTTTTATTTAAATATATAATTCTTAATTATAAAAACTTAAAATAAAGAAATAATTTATAATTTATTATTTTTAAAACTTTTATAATAAAGTATTAAAACTTTTAAAGAAAGTTTTAAAAGTAATTTATAAAAAATAAAGAATAAATATAATAAGTTTATTTTTCTTTAAGTTTATATTTTTATTATTAATAATTATTAACTTTTAATAAAATAAATAAATATAATAAAAATAATAAAAGAATAAATTTAAAGTTTTTCTATAAAAGGATTATAAGAATATATATAAAGTTATTAAAACTTTATATATAAGTTTTAAAAGAAAAAGTAAAGAGTTATATAATATAAAGGAAAAATATAATATAATTAAAGTTAATAATATATATAAATTTATATTTTTATTAAAAGTAAATATTTTTAATTAAAATCTTATTTATATAATTTAATTAAATAATAATTATTTTTAATTGAATTTAATTTTATATTTTTATTATAATATTTTAATTAATATTATTATTTTACTTATATATTTTAACTTTATTTATATAAAATAAAATAAAATTTTAAATATTTATATAAATATATTATATATAATTTTAAATATATATAAATAAATATAAATATCTTCTTTTAATTTTAAATATTTTAAAATATAAATTATTTAAAAATATTTTCTTATTTTATAATAATTAATAATATTTATATATATTAAACTAATATTTACTTATTTAACTTTAATATTTATTTATTTAATAATTTTTATAAACTTATTTTATATTAATATTTTATATATAAAACTTATATAAAACTATATATTTAATTAAAATTTTAAAGTTTTAATACTTTAAATATAAACTTTTTTAATACTTATTTTAATATACTTTTAATATACTTTTAATATTTTTAATATACTTTTAATACTCTTTTAAAATAACTTTTAATACTTCTTTAATATACCTTTTAATATACCTTTTAAACCTTATATATTTAAATATTAATTAAATATTTAAATATTAATTAAATATTAAAAGTTTTAAAAGTATTAAAATATTAAAAGAGTATAGTGTTTATATTTAAATATTAATTAATATTTAAATATATAAAGTTTAAAAGTATATTAAAAGTATATTAATAAGTATATTAAAAGTATATTAAAAGTATATTAAAAGTATATTAAAAGAGATTTATATTTAAAATATAAAAATTAAAGATAAAAATTATTTTATAGAATTTCTTTATATTAAATTAGAAAGTATTTATAGATATAAAAAAGTTATTTAAAAAAATAAATATTAAATAAGTTTATAAAAATTATTAAATAAATAAATATTAAAGTTAAGTAAGTAAATATTAACTTAATATTAATTAATATTCTTTTTATATTATAATATTATTATTATCATAGTAATTAATTAAATTAAATTTTTAAATTAAGAAAAAACTTAACTTAAAATAAAATAAGTCTTAGTATATAGTACTTAACTGTTATAGCTTCTATGAGTGTAAGGATTGGGCGAAAAGATGCCACGAAAGCGGTGGGCAGCTGAAGACAGGCTGCTTCAGTATTTCTCAGCAAGCCTCCGGAGGAAAGGCCAGGGGGAACTCTGAGCATTAAACTCATCACCAGCACGCCAATGCTATTTCAAGACAAACAGCACCTCAGGCCAAGCCACTCCCGTGAAATCGCAATCCATATCTCAATCATTTCAAAAATGGCTACACTTTCAGCAGCGAGCGCTGCTGACCTGCCAGGGAGGAGCTTGCAGGGCACTGTTGAGGACGTTGAGTTCTGGTCAAACTACTTAGTGCCACGTTTCGAGGCATACCTATCAGAGGCCGGCTCCTACAACACCGAACAACAGGCCGCACACGTCGCCTGTTTGCGTGCAGCGCTACCAGGACTGGGGCCCAAGCCTCCGCACCCACAATGGAAGATAACATTGGCCTACAATGGCTTGCCCATAGAACTCTCCATCAACCTGTCTGAGGATCGAGGACCAATAGTCCGCTTCTACCTGGAGCCTGTCAGCCGCGAGATCGGGACTGACCGAGATCCCATAGGAGAGTCCGCCTTCCTCGCCAGTTTCTCCCGCCTCGTCCCGGAGATGACCTCGGTGGACGCCCAGTGGTTCCATCACCTTAGCGAGGTTTTCGGCCTCAAAGATCAATCAGAATTTGACGCCGCCAAAGCTCGGACCCGCGCGGAGGCGCCAGTTCCAAAAGGCTTCATGGGCGTGGACTTCGCTTGTGGGACCAGGAGTCTCAAGTGCACTTTCTGCCCGCTGCAGAAGTTCTTCGCTAGAGGCGGTGGATGGGATAATCTGCCCGATCTCAACAAGGGTGTGGTTGATGCGATTCGCACACTGCCAGGCGCCAGCGCCGTCATGGGCCAGTCCCTCGACCGCCTGGAGAAGTACCTCTTTCAAGCCCCTTGTGGCCAGGTCGGTCGCGGAGACACCAGATGCCGGGAGTGCGCCAAGATGAACAGGCCCAACTCCTTCTTCAACCTGGTTAGCGTCGACTGCGCCGACCCAAGCAAGGCCCGCGTGAAGCTATACTATCGCATCCAGTGCAACGCCTTTGCATGTATCCGTGACGCGGTCACGCTTGGAGGGCGGTTGACGGACGACAAGACGCTTGAGGGCCTTCGGCGGTTGCAGGCGGTCTGGCATCTGCTGGTAAACGACCCGGAATCGCAGGAGAGTGATGATCATTGCCGGCCGTGGAATGTGGAACGGTTGCGTCAGGGCATTGACATCAACTGGGAGTTCTCGGGCCGAACATCAGCGCCTGAGACGAAGGTGTATGTGCCGGTGTACATGTTCCACAAGAACGACGATGAGGTGAACCGCAATCTAAACACTGTATTCAAGAAGCTCAATTGGAACAACTGGGCTGATGGTCGGTATGCGAGGTTGCTGCACAAGGTAGTGTAAGTATTCCACCCAACAATCTAGCAATTTTCAAGGCAACTGACAGGAGGAGCAGTCCCGAAGCTGACTTTGCAACATCCCGCCTAACTACATGGGTCTCTTATTGCTACTATGAGCAGCGTGGCTCTTATATGACCATGTATAAGACTCTTCCACTGCCTGAATAGATTCATTTGTGAGATCTAAACATCAAGATCATCAGTCTCAATCATGGGATCGTTGTGTTGAGCAACAGGCAATCTATACTCGATTCTGCATGCTGTGGATTACAAGGGAGCCTATTTTTGGTCTGGTCTGTTGGAGAGAACCTGGAAAACTCCCAACACCCAATTTGCCTGATAGGTATCTTTGAGGGGACTCATCATACACTACAATCGTATTCATGTCGGGAACAGATGCACAATGTGATATACCTTTCAGATCCATCAGTTGCATGATCGTGAAGCTCTAGCAGATGAATGATTCCATGCTCCTTGTAGGGACCATTCTTAAGTTTCACAAGAAAGCATCCACCCAGGCTGGCCTGCATAAGGTTTAAGTGTAATTTTAGTAAACTTCTAACCTTAATCCAGTCCACCCTTATTAGGTGGTATCACTTCTATTCCTAAAACATCTAAGGATATACCTAGTGCCTATATATAATTATTAAGATAAATAGACCTATTAAAGATAAATATAAAGATAAATATAAAGGTAAATATAAAGATAAATATAAAGATAAAAATAAAGATAAATATAAAGATAAATATAAATATAAATATAAAGATAAATATAAATATAAATATAAATATAAATATAAAGATAAAGATAAATATAAATATAAATATAAATATAAATATAAATATAAATATAAATATAAATATAAATATAAATATAAATATAAATATAAATATAAATAAAGAATTATAAATTATATTTTAAATAAATTAAACTTTATATAAAATTTAAATTTAAGTTAAAAACTTATAAAAAACTTAAAAGATTTAAATAAAGTTAAATTAAATTATAATAATTAAAATTAATTAAATAAAAGTTATTTAAAAATAATAATTATAAAGTTTTAATTTTATATTTAAAAATAAATTTTTAAATATAAAAGAAAAGTTTAAATTAAATACTTTATATATATATATAACCGTTATATAATTTAATATATAAATATATTTATCCTTTTAAATATAAAGCTAAAAACTTATAATTATAATTTTATAATTAGTTTTTATTTAATTATATTATATTATTATAATCTTATTTAACCTTATTTAAACTCTTTTAAGCTTTTTAACTTTAATATCTCTAAAAGAGTTAAAGCTTTATATTTCTTAATTTTAAGTTTAAAATTCTTATAAATTTTAATATACTTTAAATTAAATTTATAATTTTTATTTTTTAAATATTAATAAATTTTTTTAAAATAAAAGTCTACCTTTATATAATTATAAACTTAATTATTAATAATTATCTTTTTTATTTATAATAAAGCTATTAAAACTATAAACTTAAATATTATATATAATAATAAAGTATAGTTACTTTATTTAATTATTTTTAATTTAATAATATAATAGGTTAAATAACTATTTTTAAGTAGTTTTACTTATAATATAATAAAGCTAATAAATAGATATTTACTTAAGTAGAGTTAAAACCTATATATATTCTTTAAGGGAATAATAGCTTTTATTTTTACTATTTCAACTAACTTATATCTAAGTTATATAGTAATATTATATATAGTACTTAATAATATTAAGACTAAATAGTCTATAATTTATAATAACTTTAACCTTTAACACACTAACTTAAATAAACTAAGTATAGCTTAATATACTAATATTAAAAGGTATCTTCTAATAATAAATAGTATTATAAATATAATAAATTATAAAGTTATTATAAAAAGTTTTATATAGTAAATTTAATTAAATTAATCTTTAAAAATATATTATATTTTATTTCTTTAAAACTTTAACTATTTACTTTTAAATTAATAATAAAATTAAAAATATAAATAATCTATAAATATATTTATATATAATAATAATTCTTTTTTAATATAAAGTTAAAAGATTTATAATTATAATTTTTAATTAATTTTTATTTAATTAATTTTTTATTCTAATTTAATTTAATCTTTAATTTAATTTAAACCTCCTTTTAAATTATATAATTACTTTTATTTTTATAAATATAAATATTAAATTAAAACTTTTAAACTTAAACTTAAAATTTATATATATTTTAATTTCCTTTAAATTAAGTTTATAATTCTTTAACTTTTTAAAAATATATTAATTATTTTAAATATTAATAACTTTTTTAAAGTAAAATTTACTTTTATATAATTATAAATTTAATTATTAATAGTTATTTCTTTTTTAAATAAAGTTATTAAAATTATAAATTTAAATAATAAAGTGTAATTACTTTATTTAGTTATCTTTTAATTTTATTAAGTAACTAATTTTAAGTAGTTTTACTTAATAAATATTTATTTAAGTAGAGTTAGAACTATATATATCTTTAATTAGAGGAATAATAGTTTTATCTTTATTTATTTTAACTAACTTATATTTAAAAATTTAAATTATATAATAAATTTAATATTTATATATAAAGCTTATTAATATTAAATTAAATAGTTTATAATTTATAATAACTTTAACTTTATATAAATTAATTTATATTAAAGTTAATAATATTAATTTAAATTAATTAAATATAACTTAATATATTAATATAAAAGATATCTTTTAATAATAGATAATATTATAAATAATTATAAAATTATTATAAAAGTTTTATATAATAAGTTTAATTAAATTAATTTTTAAAAGATATATTATATTTTATTTTTAAAACTTTAATTATTTATTTTTAATTTAATAATAAAATTAAAAGAAATAAATAATTTATATAATAATAATTAAAATATATAAAAATATAAATAGAAATATAAAATAAAATAATATTTTATTTTAAATATTATTTATTAATATATTAATAATATTTTTAATATTATAAAGTTAAAGTTATAATAATAAAATATATTTTTAAGTTTATAAAATATATTTTTAAAATTAGAATTATTATATTAAAATATTAATATTAAGGTTATTAATTAAATATTTATAAAATTAATTAATAAGTTTATATACTTTACTTATTTTATTAATTTAAATAGTTTTATACTTTTCACAATACGGGATTATAGCTTCACTATCTTTATTATATTATTTTTAAATAACTTTAGTTTTAAATTAATAATTCTTTATAAATAATTTAAATTTCTTTTATTATAAACTATAAAGACTATTTTAATTTTTATATTTTATTTAAAATAGTAATATTAAATAAAACTTTTAAAAATTATATAATAATATAACTTTTTTAAAATTAAAGTATTATATTATTTCATTTATAAAATTAAAAATAAAAACTTTTTATATTTTTATTTTATAAAATTAAATTTTATATCTTTATATTTACTTTTTTATATTACTTTTAATTTAAATATAAAAATAAATTAAAATATTAACTTTATTTTATTTAAAGTTTATAATATAATATTATAATTAATATTAATATATATAAAGTTATAAATTATTAAAAAAGTTATATTTTAAATTATATTTTATTTATTATAACTTTATATTAAATTAATATATTATTAAATTAAAGTTTAGTTTAAAATATATTATATAGTTTTAATTAATAAAGTACCTTATATAGGACGGTATTATTATAGTTGTATTAGGCTGGGGGCTGAGGTGGGTGATTGGGCGTACGGGCTACCTGCAGCCTCTGAGGCCCTAAGCTCTTCTAACGTTGGATCCCTTGAAGGCTTTTCTTCCTCCCTTTCTTTCTTTCTTAGATAGACTAGGTATTATTCGAAATTCCACAATCTTGAGCAAGACTTGAGAGCTTCGCCTCTCTTATGTACCTCCCATAACAGGTATAACTAGGAGGTGTCCTAGGTATGTAGCAGCCGGCTCACATATCTATGATGATAACCATGCTTATGGACATGGTCCTGCAGAACGCTGCGCGCTGTCGAGTTGAATCGACACCTTCAACTCCATTCTCTAGTCTTTAGTCTCGAGGAATCCTTTCTTTCCATCCACCTCACATTTCCTCTTACCCTCATCATGTCCCAGTTTTCCTTCATGCTTGCAGTTGTTGCTACTGCTTCATTCTTCTTCTTCCTCTCTTGGCTTGAACTCCTTAGAAAGACGCTGCTTATCAGGCTTTCGTGGAGGAAGCTTCCTGGAGCACCGAGGTCATGGACTAGCGGAAACTTGCACAACATGGCACCTATGCTGGCTTCTGACAAACATCCAGGCGAGTCTCAAGCATATTCATTAGTCGCATGACAACCGGCTAAAACTCGGAAACTGATACTTTGGTGGCAGATTATGGTCTGTACAAGATATGGAAGGATCTCAACCGCCCAGATTGGTTTCTTGTCGATCTCTGGCCTCAGCAAGCGCCCATGATCATCATTTCGGACCCAAATATCGCGGAAAGGTTCTCGAGAGCGACAACCAGAGAGCCATGGTCAACACCCAAGATGAAAACACCTTCCAGCCTGAAAGCATTGCTTGGAGCAACTTCACTTTCCATCGCACAGGTGAGTGTAGGGGCATGAGAGAAGAGTATGCACAGGGGCTCCCAGCGAGGTGTTGACAGGCGTTTTAAGGGCCGGGCATGGCGGCCTGTACGCCAGCGACTTAATCCCAGTGAGTCGAATTGAGATCTGATTGGTAGACTTTTGGTGGCTCGGCTGACATCCAACCGCAGTGTTTCAACCGAAGGCGGTGTATTCATCAATCAATCGAATCATAGACCACACAGATATATTTCTCAACATCTTGCTCCTAGCATCGAGGCAGCAGGTGGACGTGACTCTTGGCGACCTCCTCGCTGACCTCGCCACTGATGTTATCAGTAGTTGTTTAATTGGATACAACTTCGACGCTCAGACATCATCTCATGGTGAGAAAGAAAAGGGGATAGACGGTATCCTAACTTGTCTCCGTGAGGGTGTGGCTGTCCAACCCCTCTTTTTCGGGTCCGGATTGTCAGCACTCTATGGGCGTATATCTGCGTGGCGTAAGATGAGGCGCCTCAAAAGGTACACTAGCTGGGAAAGCCTTTCCGTCCTGCTGCGTAAGGCCGTACTGACTCCAACCCCTCTCAAGGACTCTTGACACAAGACTAGCCTCTGTCATCCAACAAGACCCGAAATCCGGCTTCGCCGCTCGTTACCTTGGCTCAGACGCGCTCACCCCTTCACTACTCCAGGAAGCCGTCGATCAAGCCAAGACACTTCTGCTGGCCGGACAGGACACGACGTCATGCGCACTGCAGTGGTGCTTCTTCTACTTGTGGAAGCACCCTGAAGTCCTAGGGAAGCTGCGCGCGGAGCTCGACATGGTCCTCGGCCCAGGAGTCGCTAGCGACTCAGCGCAACTACGCGAAAAGCCTCAGTTGTTGCAGGACATCCCCTACACGAGTGCGGTGATCAAAGAAACATTGCGACTGAGGGGAATTTCTGGTACAACACGCGAGATCACGGCAAACACTGTAGTTGAGGTTGATGGCGAGTCTGTGCTGGTTGAGCCAGGTGCAATTTTCTTTATCAATAATTATATTCTGATGAAAAATCCAAAGGTGAGTCTTGGCACCCGTGGCAGAGGTTAGCATCCAAAGGATCACTCACACTTTCTTCGTACACAGTGCTGGGGCGAAGATGCTGAGGATTTCCGCCCTGAACGTTTCTTAGAAAGTGAAGAGACCGGGAAACACATGCGAAATATTTCTTACCGGCCGTTCGAGCGCGGCCCACGCAACTGCATTGCACAAGAACTTGTCATGGTGGAAATGCGTATCGTACTTTTACTAACAGTCCGTCTTTTCGACTTTGTCAAGATCGGCTATGATGGTATCATAGAGGAGGAGGTGTATGATATCAGTCGTGTTGTACATTCTCCAGTTGATCAGATGAAGATGCGTTTCAGCGAGAGGGTCATCACCGCTGGCTGATACCTTAAACAACCCATGGGAACCGGATAATTCGATGGTCGGTGTTAACTAGTGTCCTATCTATTCCGCACACATTTGTATAAAGATATAGTGAATTTAAATAGTGGTAAACGCTTAAGACCTAGTTATTTAAAATATTCGATATTAATAATAATTATAAAAATATAATAGGTTATTATTATAATACTTATTAACTTACTTTATATAAGAGAATAAATATTAATACTTATTAAAATAAATATTATACTTATTATTAAATAAATATATATTTTAATTATTAAATTAATTTAAAAGAAAAATATAAAAATATATATTAAATATATTTTAAATTTTAATTATATAATATTATTGATTTAAATATTTTAATAATTATTATAAAATTAACATTTTATAAGAATAATTATATTATATTTTTAAATAAAATAAAATATATTATTATAATATATTATAAAATAAAAGTTTTATTATAGTTTTATATTATTATAAGAATAATAGATTATAATAAATTAATTACTATAAGTAAATAATAAGTAATTTATATATATATAAGTTAAGTTTAATTAATAAGTTTAATTAATTTATTTAAATATTTTATTATTTAATTAAATAAACTTTTAATTAATATTAATATATATAATTTTACTTATTTATATATAAGTAAGTTAATTAATATTAATTAATTATTAATTAATTTTTAATAATAAAGTTTAAAAGATAATTAGTTACTTTAAAGTAGTTAAATTCTTTATAAGTTCTTACTATTAAAATAATTATATTAATATAATAAAGTTCTTTAAAGTTTAAATATTAATTTATTATTAAAAATATTTTTATTATAACTTTTAATATTAAACTCTTTATTATAAATATTTATATTATTATTAATTCCTTTTAAGTATAAAGTTAAAAACTTATAATTATAATTTTCTAATTAATTTGTATTTAACTATTTTATTATATTATAATCTAGTTTAGTTTCTAACTTTATTTAAATCTTTCTTTAAGCTTATTTAGTATTTTCTCTTTAAGTAAGTTAAATTTAAATTAAAACCTTTAAGTTTAAGTTTAAAATTTTATAAATCTTAATATACTTTAAATTAAATTTATAATCCCTTAGCTTTTTAGAAGTATATTAATTATTTTAAATAATAATAACTTCTTCTTAAAGTAAAAGTCTACCTTTATATAATTATAAATCTAATTATTAATAGTTATTTTTTTATTTATAAACTATTAAAATTATAAACTTAAATAATAAAATATAATTACTTTACCTAAAGGTTATCTCTTAATTTAGTAATATAGTAGTTTAAGTAACTACTTTTAAGTAGTTTTATTTATAGAGTTAATAAATAAATGTTTACTTAAATAAAGCTAGAACCTTTAAAGGAATAATAGCTTTTATTTTTATCTATTTTAACTAACTTACTTAAGTTATATAATAATATTATATATAATACTTAATAGTATTAAAATTAACCTATAATTTATAATAACTTTAATCTTTATTAAATTAATAATATTAATTTAAATAAATTAAATATAACTTAATATATTAACATAAAAGATATTTTTAATAATAAATATTAATATAAATATAAATTATAAAATTATTATAAAAGTTTTATATAATAAACTTAATTAAATTAATCTTTAAAAATATATTATATTTTATCTCTTTAAAACTTTAATTATTTACTTTTAATTTAATAATAAAACTAAAAAATATAAATAGTTTATAATTTATATTATTATTAATTTAATAGAAATTTAATTAAATATATATTAATAAAATTTATAAACTTTTTTATTATTTTATATACTTTATTATACTTTATTTACTTTATTATACTTTATTATACTTTAAAAACTTTATATTTATTTAATTATAAATTTAAAACCTTTTATTATTAAACTTTTAATTATATTTTTAATAAATAGTTTAAAATAATTATAATTATTTATTAAAACTTAAAATATATATAATTTTTTAATAATTAAATAAAACTTTTTTATTAAATAACTTTTATAACTTTTTTATAATAAACCTTTTATAATAATTAATAAAAGTATAAAACTATAAATAATTATAATAAATTTTTTTATAATTAATAATTTATATTTATTTAATAAGCTTTTAAATTAATAATTAATAATTTATTAATTTATTAAATACTTTTATTAACCTTTAATTACTTTTTAAAAACTTTTAAATAAAAATAATAATTTTATAAATAAAGTATATAATTATATAAATAAAATAATAATATATTTATTATATAAAATTATATTTAATATATTTAATTAATTTAATTAATTAATTTAATTAATTAAATAATTTATTAAAATAATTTTTACTTAAATTATTATATAAATAATTATTTATATTTAAAATAAGTTTTACTTTTAATAATTATTAATTAACTATTAATTAAATAATTTAATTAAGTATATAAATAAAAAAATAAAAAAGATTATTAAAAGAATTAATTAAACTAATTAATAATTATAAATTAATTAATAAGTAATTATAATTAATAAGTAATTAATAATAACTTAATAAATAATTAAATAACTTATAAAATATTAATTTAAAATATTAATTATAAAAGAAAAAATATTATTAAAAGGTATTAACTAATTAAATATAATTATAATTAATAATTATTTAATAATAATTTAATAAATAATTAAAGTTAATTTTATTTATTAAAATAATTTAAATTTAAATAAATTAAATAATTTATAAAATATTAATATAAAGTATTTTTAAACTATTTAAATTAATTAAATTATAATTATATATTTAATAATAATTTTAAATAATTTAATAATTTAATTAAAACTTATTTTATTAATAAATAAAGCTTTTAATTAATTAAAAAAGATTTTAAAATTAAAAAATATTAATAAAATAAAAGTTATAATAAATAAATTATTATAAGTTAATAATAAATAATTTATATATATATATAAATTAAGTTTAATTAATAAATTTAATTAATTTATTTAAATATTTTATTATTTAATTAAATAAACTTATTAATAATTATTATATTATTTCTTTAAAAATAGTTTTAAGTTTTATAATATTTTAAAACTAAAAATAATAAAATTTAAAAGTTTATATTAAAAAATAAAATATTAATTTATTAAGAAAATAATATTAAAATATAATTTTAATTTTTATAAATTTAATAATTATAATTTTATTTTATTTAAACTTTTATTAATTAAAGAATTAAAATATAAATTAAAATTCTTAATAATTTTACTTTTTAATAAGTATATAAAAGAATACTTTTAATTTAAATTAAAACTTTTTTAAAGTTTTTAATTAATTAAAATTATTTCCTTTAATTTCTTTATATAATTAATTAAACTTTATTTTAATTAATATTAATTTTAATTTTAATTTTTAACTTTTAATTAATTAATTTAAAAAAATAGTAATATATTATTAAAATAAATAAATAAAATAAGTAAATAAAAATAAAATATTATTATTATAAAGTTTTTAATTTTAATTTTTATTTATATTATTTTTTAAAGCTTTTTTATTCTTAAAAATAGTTTTTATAAGTTTTAAATAAGTTATTTATATAATATATTATAAAAATAATAATAATTTAATAATTATAAGTTTTTAAAAGAATATAATATTTATTAAATTTAAATTTATATATTTAATTTTTTAAAAATAAAATTAAAATAATAAAATATTATATAAATTATTAATAATTTTTAACTTTTATTAAATTAAAATAAATAATAAAACTTTTAAAAATTTAAAATATAATATATTTTTAAGTATTTAATTTAATTAAATTTATTATATAAAATCTTATAATACTTTTATAATTATTAATAATATTATTTATTATTAATAAGTATACTTTTATATTAATATATTAAATTATATTAATTTAAATTATTTTTATAAATTTATTAATAATTAAAAGTTTATAAATTATAAATTATTTAATTTAATATTAAAAGATTTTATATAAATATTAAATTTATTATATAATTTAAATATAAATTAATATTTATTTATTTAATAATTATATTTATTTATTTAACTTTTTTAATTATTTATTTAATATAAAATTTATATATAAAGCTTATATAAAACTATATATTTAATTAAAATTCTTAAATTTTTAATATTTTTAATATAAACCTTTTAATATTCCTTTAATATTTCTTTACCTTTATTTTTATCTTTACCTTTATTATTTAATTTATATATATTTAGGAATTAATTAAGTATTTAAATATTAATTAAATATTAGAAGGTTAAAAGTTAAAAAGGTAAAAGTAAAGATTATACTTTTTTTAACCTTTTAATATTCCTTCTAACCCTTTAATACTTTAAACTTTTAACTTTTTAATATTTAATTAATATCTAAATATTTAGTTAATATTTAAATATATATAACTTAGAAGGTCTATTAGAAGGTATATTAAAAGAGGTGTTAAAAAAGGTGCTAAAAAAAGTATTAAAAAGGGTATTAAAAGAGGTATTAAAAGAGGTTTATATTAAAAGTATTAAAAATTAAAAAAGGAAATTATATTATAAAGTCTTTTAATATTAATTTAGAAGGTATTTATAAATATAAGGAAGTTATTTAGAAAAATTAATATTAAATAAGTAGTTAATAGGAATGAGGTAAGTAAATATAATTATTAAATAAATAGATAATAGCTTTTAAATATAAATATAAATTAATTAAAATAAATAAAAATAAAAATATTATTTTTAATTAAAGTTTTAATTATAATTTATAAATAAATATTTATTTTTAATTTTATAATATTATTAATAAAAGTATTTAAAAATAATTATTTAATTTATTATATAATTTATTAAATTAAAAATAATTTTAAATAAAATAATTATATTTTTAAAAAAGAATTATAAATTGAATTTAAATTAAATTAAATTATAATAGTTTTAAATTTAAATTTTAAATATTAAATAAATTTAAAAGAGTTAG